TTTCTTTCTTTCTTTCTTTCTTTCTTTCTTTCTTTCTTTCTTTCTTTCTTTCTTTCTTTCTTTCTTTCTTTCTTTCTTTCTTTCCTCCCTCCCTCTCTCCCCCTTGATCCTAGTCAATCACCCAGTGGCTCAATGTTTGGGAGATAATTTGTGCATAAAAACCAACCCAAGATCCTTCAAAACAGATTAGAATTTAAATCCTACAAAACTGGTAGGAGATTCACGTGGAGGGGGGGGGGGAATGGCGGGAGGACACCTGTCCCTGGACTTCTTCCAGCATGCCTCTCTGTGGCAGGAAAGAAGCACCATTTTGGCCCAGGATAGAAGAAAGGTTAACCCTTTCCCTTCCTCTCCCGTGGCTTTTCTAAGACGTTACTTGAAGCCTTCCACCGTTCCTCTCGAGTTTCTCAAAATTAACTGCGAAATCCTGTCCAAGATATTCCCAGGCCAGATCCGCTGTTCTTCCTTCCTTCTTCTTTTTGCTAGGAAGGGGTTAAGCAGCCGCTTTACCAAGTCTTCCCATGGTTCTCAATCTGGACCTCCAGCTTGGTCTTTGAGCGGGGGGAGCATTGACAGGAAGCGGGGCGTTGAGAGGAAGCGGGGCGTTGAGAGGAAGCGTTGACGGGGAAGCCTTGAGAGGGAGCGAAGGCTCCGCGCTGGTCTTCTCGTGTCTTTTCTCGTGTTTCACGCGGGTGGAGTTGCGTTTGAAGCTTTTGCCGCAGCTGTGGCAACAGAAGGGTTTTTCCCCCGTGTGGGATCTCTGGTGCGAGATCAGGTGGGCCTTCTGAACGAAGCCGGCCTTGCAACGCGAGCATTTGAAGGGCCTGTCTTTCGTGTGGGTCCTCTTGTGCACAATGAGGTGGGTCCTCTGGCAGAAACTCTTGGGGCAGTGGGTGCACTTGTACGGCTTGTCCCCCGTGTGGATCCTTTCGTGCTTGACGAGCGAGGAGTACAAGCCGAAGCTCTTCCCGCAGTCGGAGCATTTGTGCGACTTCTCTCCCGTGTGGGATTTCTGGTGCCTCCGGAGGTCGGGCATCCGGGTGTAACTCTTCCCGCAATCCGAACACTTGAAAGGTTTGATCCCTCTGTGGGTCCGTTGGTGGGAATGGAAATGGGAGCTCCGATGGAACGTTTTCCCGCAGTCGGAGCACTTGAACAGTTTCTCCTTTTTGTGCGCTTTCTTGTGTTTGGTAAGATGGGCGCGCTGGCTGAAGACCTTCCCGCACTCCGAACACTGGTAGGGCGTGGTCCTTTGGTGCATCTGCTTATGTTTCAGGAGGAGGAGACTCTGAGTAAATTCCTTCCCGCATTTGGGACATGGTTTTGGTTTCCTTCCTTTGCCGGTTCCTGGGTGAAGGAGGACTTTGCTGGTATTTTGACGGTCAGCGGGAGAAAGAATGGATTTCGCTTCTTTGGTCTTTTGTCCAGCTTCCTTCTGTCTGTCAGATTTGCGCTGAGAAGTTGTGGGCTCCTCTGTGTCTTTACTCAAGGCACTTTGAGCTACAATTTCTCCAACATTTGCTTGATGGGGACTGTTTTTCTTCTCTTTCTCCTTTTCCTTTTCTTTCTCTTTCTCTTTCTCCTTCTCCATCTTCTCCTTCTCTATCTTCTCCATCTCCTTCTCTTTCTCCTTCTCTGACTTCTCCTTTTCCATCTCTTTCTCCTTCTCTGACTTCTCCTTCTCCATCTCTTTCTCCTTCTCCGACTTCTCCTTCTCTTTCTCCATCTTCTCCTTCTTCTTTTTTTTCTTGCTCTTCCCCTTCTTGCTCTTCTCTTGCTGCTGGGATGCTGCCATAAAAAAAATGGAAAGACAACTCAAGTGAATTCACCCCATTGGTTACCCCAGGAATCAGTTGACACCCAAATCTCATATAGGAGGTGAAAGCGATTCGCTCATTGACATCATGCTATTAGAGCTGATCACTTCCAGCTGTTTCTTAACCATACGCAAAGTGCTTTGAATTCAAATCTCTTTAGATCAGTCTAGAAATTGAGCCATGGGAACTGGACTTTGGTAATGTCTTGTAAAGGCCACACTTGGAATACTGCATTCAGTTTTGGTCGCCACGATGTAGAAAAGATGTGGCGACTCTAGAAAGATTGCAGAGAAGAGCAACAAAGATGATTAGGGGACTGGAGACTAAAACATGTGAAGAACGGTTGCAGGAACTGGGTATGTCTAGTTTAATAGAAAGAAGGACTAGGGGAGACATGATAGGAGTCTTCCAATATCTCAGGGGTTGCCACAAAAAAGAAGGAGTCAAACTATTCTCCAAGGCACCTGAGGGTAGAACAAGAAGCTATGGGTGGAAACTAATCAAGGAGAGAAGCAACTTAGAAGCAAGGAGAAATTTCCTGACAGAACAATTAATCAGTGGAACAGCTTGCCTCCAGAAGTTGTGAGTGCCCCAACACTGGAAGTCTTTAAGAAGATGTTGGATAGCCATTTGTCTGAAACGATATAGGGTTTCCTGCCTGGGCAGGGGGTTGGACTAGAAGAGCTTCAAGGTCCCTTCCATCTCTGTTATTCTGTTCTGTACTTCTTTTCCTGATCGTTCAATATGTTTTGCTGCTTATCCAAGTAGCTTCTTCAGATAAGCAGCTTCTTCTTGGATAAGCAGAGAAACGTTTCAAACCAACAAGACAAGAAGTCCAGTTGCCATGACTCCATTTCCAGACAACTCGGCCTGGATATCGGAGAATCTTCAACGACACTTTGAATCGGAAACATGTGATTTAAAGTTTGAAACACCTTACTTCCCATGCAAAATTATCTCATTTTGGAAAGATTTTGAGCTTGAAACACTTCCTAAAATGATTAATCTATAAAATTCTAGACACAGCACTGAAACTACGATCTCTGGTATTTTCACATTATTTCATTTGTTTATTTGATTAGTATTCTGTCTTTTGGCTGTTTTTTAGGCAGCTTAATAGGCATTCTGATAAATGTCCAACAAGGGTTTGTTTCAAATTCCATTTTGAAACTGTTAGGAAAGTAACAGGAGAAGATACTCTATTTTTCGAAGTATAAGACGCATCTTTTTCCCTCAAAAAAAGAGGCTGAAAATCTGGGTGCGTCTTATACACTTCACCAAAATGGCCGTGCATAGCCTCTAGGAAGCTTTGCTCCTGGGGGCTGGGGAGGGAGGGCAAAAATGAGTGAAAAACGGGCCACTTTTTGCTAAATTTTGCCCCCCGCCCGGAGCATCTATAAGCCTCCTAAAGGCTATTTATGCCCTTTTTGTAACAAAAAATGGGCCCGTTTTCGCAAAAAGCAGGCTGTTTTTTGCTTGTTTGGGGGGGGCACCCCTCCAGGAGCACTCTATAAACCTCCTAAAGGCTATTCATGCCTTTTTGGGGGGGAATGGGCCCATTTTCGCGAAAAACGGACTATTTTCGGGAGGTCTGCAGAGTGCAGAAACTTTTTTTTTTTTAAATTTGCCTCTTCACAATCGTGGTGCATCTTATACTCTGGAAAACACGGTAACTTTTAGCGACTGCAACAATATTTCATTTATTTTTATGCGAAATATATTTGAAATTTCTGGTGTTATGGAGGAAATGTATGTGGTCACTAAGACCTGACAACAGTTTGATGGCATGTAATCAATCAATTACTTCCAATAATAAAAAAAGCTCAGAGCTTTTTTATATGGCAAGGTTTCTGTTGAAACTGGCATTGGCCAGAAACGTGAGAGCGTTTGGGGAGATTTGGAGCAATAAAGGGACGGTTTGAACTGCCAGCTGTTTGTGTCATCTCTGTGCTGTGCTGATTTTATTCCTATTCTTACAATCACAACGACCCACACTTCCATTTTTCCCACCTGCAGTGCTGACAACTTGATTGTTCCCTTTCTCAGAAACTTGAGAGCGTAGACCCAAAATGGCCTCATCTTCTTCCTCCATCCAGGAGTTTGGACCCAAACCAGTGAGCGAGATAACTAGTGCAAAAATAAAATCCAAGAAAATAAAACCTAGGTTGCTTTATTTAACCATCCTTCTATATGTCTCAGCACAAAATGAACGACAGCAACGTAACAGCAACGTGAATGTAGACTAAGAGCAGTACTAAATGTCTTTGTCAGCTGCCACTGTATGCTTACCATGTGGTGAAAGTCTGCCATAAACTCTGGAGAGGGTGGATGGGAGGGGAAATGCTTGGGGGAAAGCGAAAGTAACCACTGTATCTTCCTGAGATGCTACTTCAAGGTCAACCACAGATATCTGGAAGGTGCCAACAGAGGAAACAAAACCTAGAGATTCTTACCGAGAGAAGTCACATTTTCATAATTCTCCTGCATCACTTCCTTGTACAGAACTCTCTGACTGGGGCCCAAGAGAGACCATTCTCCCTTGGAGAAGCAGACGGCGACCTCCTCGAAGGAAATGGGCTAGAAGGAAACAACCAGAACCTTAATCAATAGGGAAGAAACCAGGTGAACACGAATCACTCCAATAAAATAAACACCTGTTCTATGCAATGCATTGGGAAAGGTGGGCAATATAAGCAGGGTGATCCCCTTTTACGACCTTCTGACAAGCAAAGTCCATGGGGAAGCCGGATTCGCTTAACAACCGTGTGACTAACTTAACAACTGCAGTGATTCCCTTAACAACTGTAGCAAGAAAAGTCGTAAAATGGAGCAAAACTCAATTAACTGTCTTGTTTTAGCAACAGAAATTTGGGGCTAAATTGGGGCCATAAGTTGAGGATTACCTATACTGGGATCTCCCAAAACTCAAAACTAGAACCTGCGAGATCCCTCCTTGTTTTTCTTTTCACAATTGAGAACTATAAAACAATTGTATTTTTTAAAAAATATATCATTCTTTTCCGTAACAAAATGCAGCTAAGATATTGACCGTTATTATCTGGGCTCCAAAATCGGTATTTTGGAGAATCTTTTTCCAGAGAGGTTAATTCTTCTAGAACATCGTTTCTTAAAACTTTGTCCCTCTCAGGGCCCTTCCTCACTTTTAAAAATTATGTAGATATTATTGTTATACAATTGTATCACGGCGGCCAGTTGTTTCGCCGGATTTGGCATTGGTTACTAGTCGGGCCCCACCCAGGGGCCTAGGACGTCGTAACGTATTTTCATAATATGTGTGCAGATCCAAGCAGTGCGGCTTTTTGCATTTGACTGATGGTGATTTTGTCAATTTTTAACTGTTTTAAATGTAATTCCAGTGCTTTTGGAATAGCACCCAGTGTGCCAATTACCACTGGAATTACCACTGCTGGTTTGTGCTAATTACAGTGGTAATTGGCACACTGTGTACTATTCCAAAAGCACTGGAATTATATTAAAACAGTTAAAAATTGACAAAATCATCACAGTCAAATGCAAAAAGCCGCACTGCTTGGATCTGCACACATATTATGAAAATACGTTACGACGTCCTAGGCCCCTGGGTGGGGCCCGACTAGTAACCAATGCCAAATCCGGCGAAACAACTGGCCGCTGTGATACAATTGTATCATCATCATCATCATCATCATCATCATCATCATCATCATCAT